AAATGATTCATTTACATTGTGTGGATTGAAATTAGGTCTTTCATTTCCTGGATCGTGTCCGAATCATTGTTCTTTACTAGATGGAATGCCATAGCTCTATCTTCTATTGATAATAAGATTACTTAAAAACAATCATGAAATCCTGTTTATTTGAATATTAGTTCTAATGAAGTTTTTAGCGTAAAGATTGTATTACGAGTTTATATCGAAAATAAAACAGTTCTGAAAAAAAATGAAAGAAAACATTTTTCTTCCTATTGACCATGAATGGTCAAAAATAGCAGTACAGTATAAAACAATGACTAATTCTTAAGAACATTGCACTATAGAATATTCAAGAGAAGTTTGACTAACAGCTAAAACCCATATCACATAGTTTCCTACTGACGAAGAAATCTCTCCAGATGTCAGATTGCTTTTCAATCGAGACGATGTTCATTAGACGAATCGAGAATGGCTTGCTTTTTCGGATCTTCATTCTCGAAAACAAAAACTCGATGATTTTTCAATGTAATTTGTTTTTTTTTGTCATTTAAAGACATACACTTGAAAAACCACATAAATGCGAAGAATGTGGTTATGCAACAGTTGAATTAAGTAAACTTCGACGTCACATTCGAACACATACAGGCGTATGTATTTAAAATTAATTTTTTTTTTGTTTATTAAAAATATATTGAATTGTTTTTTTGGTTTGTAGGAAAAACCATATTCATGTCCGCATTGTTCATATTGTAGTCCGGATACATTTAAACTTAAACGACATTTACGTGTTCATACCGGTAAAAAAAAAAGAAATTTCTTTCTTCTTTGTTTTTTTTTCTATTATATTCTTTTCATTTAAGGTGAAAGACCATATCAATGTACGGTAAGTTAATTTATTAGATTTTTGAAAACAAAAATATAATTTAAATAAATAAATAGGTATGTAAATTTCGTTTTACACAAAGTAACAGTTTAAAAGCACATATGTTAACACATGAAACAAATGCACAAAAATTTCATTGTACATATTGTCCAACAATTTTAACACGTAAAGCTGATCTTAAACAACATATGTTAAAAAAACATGTTAATGATGAAGATTTTGTAACATGTCTTAAATGTGATCAAGAATTTGCTGATCCGTATGAAATTTTTTTTTACAAAATTTAAAAATTTTTTTTAATTATTTTTTCTTTTTGTTAGACATGAATTAAATCAACATAAAAAAATTCATCATGGAATGAATAACAATAACAATAATAATAATAATAATAATGTTAATAATTTTAATATACCACGTGTTCAACTTAGTTGTTCATTGTGTACATATAAAACATTTTCACAAGATATACTTGATGATCATATGGATTCACAACATCGAGGTTTATTGAAGTTTTTATTTTAAAATAAATCTAAATATAGGAAGCTATTTCTAAGCAGATGGACTTCAGTTTTCATTGAAGTAAATCGTTACCTCTTGGGGGAACGATACATCAGATGTAATAGAAGATCTACCTTAAATAATTATTTTTTTCGAAAAATTCGAACTCTAATTTAGTATATTCACATTAGAATTAAAGAGGATTGGGTGGAATCTTAATAACACCAATAGCTAATAACCTGCAATTTCCAGCAATCGAAAGAGAAAACCACCTTCGGACGTCTTTTTTGTTTGATATTATATAAGGCAAAATTTATAATCCATCATCTTTTCAAAACATGCATGAAAATGTTGTTTCATTTCAAGGAAATATTGATAAAAATCAACAGAATTCTATTTAATTTGACCGAATAGATACCAGAGGTGTCTATGGTGGCGCTGCCACTGCCGCCACCGCGGCAGATTTCCAGTCGCAATGAGCATCTCTGATAGATACGTGATTTTATTTACTCAAATATTGAAATATGAGAAAATAATAACCTGAATTATGCCTAGAACTATATATCCGAAGTCCTTCTATCTAAGGCATATATATAAAATTTCATCGAAGTAGAACACTATTTTCATGCATGTTTTACGGAGATAATGGATTTATGAAATAATTTTACATTCCAATTGAAGGAACTTCATTTAAATTAACTCGATTGAATATCAAAGGGAAAATAATTTGAGAAGTAAAACAAAAGTCTTCGTCAATAGAAAATTTTTTTTGAAGTATTCACACACTAAGCCTGATTGATATATAGATGAGAATAGCATACAGAAATCGACATCGTTCTATCAAATTTATTTTTATCGATTGTTTTTTGCTCGAACGGTTCAATGACTATGCTCTTCACTCATATGTTCGTTTATGTTAATTAAATAAAAACAGATCGTTCTATTTTCATACTGATTGAAAAAGAACGAAGAAGTTTACATAAGAGTTCAGCGCAAACAAAGCATTACTACCTCTTTCAGTCTCTTCTCTTAGATTTTATTTAAATAATTAATCTACTATAAATTAGTTCGGATATGTATAAACATTTATTATTAAAATTTTAGACGAACGAACATTTCAATGTAATGAATGTGGTTTAATGTATGCAACTCGTGGTGATCTTCGTCAACATGTAACAAAAGTTCATCGTTGTGGTATATATGCAAAAATGCCTGCTGGTGGTTTATCAATTCGTCAACGACCATATTCATCATCATTAAAAAATTCTCAACGTTCATCAAATTTATTAACATCACCAATAAAACAACAAATGAGAAGACGTGAGACAATTTATCGTTGTTCAATATGTCGAAATAAATTTACACATATACGTGCTATTGAACGTCATCATTATGATATACATCATATTGATCCATTTGATACAGAAGCTATGAAAAATGCAACTATTATTGATGAAGAAGATATTGAAGATGATTATGAACAACAACAACAATTAATTGATGTTAATCAAGTTCAACAAGAAATTCATCATCGAGATGAAGATGAACAAATGGCTATTATACAATTTCGTAATCAAAATCAAAATATTGATCATTCACCATTAATCGTTAAAATTGAAAGAGGTTTGTTTGAATATTTATATGTATTTAAAAAAAAAAAAGAAAATTATTTTTCTTGTTTAGATGGTTATGATGATTTTGAAACAGCTGATGATTTTATATCAAATAAACCAACACCACGTGCACGTCAATTACAAAAAAATCGTCGACGATCATCAAAAAGTTCTTATGATGAATCATCATATATTGATTCATCAATAAATAAAAATTCTTTTTTACATAATTCACATTATGATATAAAACAACAATATGATGATGATGATGATGATGATGTATATTATGAAAATGAAACTGAAACAGCTGATACATTTGTTGAAATGATTGATGATGATGATGATAATATTATTGATGAGAATGATTTTAATATTATTAAATATCGTTCATCATCTCAAAAATTGACTTGATCATTTTCATAATGTTTAATTCTTTTTTTTTTTTTGTTTTTAATATATGTAAATATGCGATATTCTTGTTGTGAAAGAATAGGCAATTCTTCTTTCTTTCTGTAGTTTGTTTATGTTGTAGTAAAAAAGAGCTTGTCTTGTTTGTATATGAACTTAGTTTCGACGTTGATTAATAAACAAAAACAAAATAAATAGATATGTTCTCAGTGATAGATTAACGAACTCATTGGACATCAATAGTTGACTGTGGAAAGATCGAAGAGAACAATATCGGAGTGGAAAATAGTCGAAAAGTGCTTCAGATTGTGGGTGTGATATCTCGACGTGCTTCGTTAAATTTACTATCTTAAAATCAATAAAAACAATTCGCCAATTAGAACTTACATCTACTCAGAAAAAAATTGCACATGCTTAGAGTCACCATTTACTACTAAACATCACTTTTTTTTGTATTTTTTTCCTTTCGATCTTTCTACGGCACACCTTAAAAATTATGACTTCAAGACTTTGTAAGACTTTACGAGATTTTAGAAGACCACATAAGCATAGGTGGTGGAGCCATCAGAGTTGGATAGGCTCAAATACAATTTTCTCCTTCCATCAGATTAACAGAATTAAGCAGAACATCAAAATATTTTTACAAACTCAATATTTTACGTCGAATAACAACATTTTCTTAGTCAAATAGACTTTGAAAGTGTGTTTCAGGAACTATTGAATTTTGTAGAAGAGTCATACATTGGCAGTGATTTCAAGTAGGAATCCTTCATAACATTTTCAACAATGAACAAACTCATAAAGAAATATTTCTTTTTTATTGTGAACATTTCTGCTTCATCTTTAAACTTTCTTCCGGTAAAGGGTGTGGGTGTAGATCTTCGCTCTAATAAGACTCGCACTCTCAGTTTCTACTCAAGGAGGCCTCCCTCAAAAATGAAGCTTTTTTTCCGAGCATCCAATCTTGATAAAATTTTCAGCTCGATAGATTGAGTCTACGAAGAGTTAGCTTAAGATTATGGGTCAAAATTTAGGTTTCCGTGCCTCCCAAATTTTTCTGCCATTTCAAATACTAGAAAGATCGGGCTGGTTTTAAAATGTAGCTAAGATGTGGCGCTACAACTTAACAGGATCTGACTTTTCAATATTTTATAGACATTAATGGGGAAATCAAAAAAATTCGGGTCTGTTAAGCTGTAGCGCCACATCTTAGCTACATTTTAAAACCAACCCGACCTTTCTAACGTTTAAAATGGCGGAGAAATCTAGGACCCATGAAAATGTAAAAATCAAAAATCCTATTTTGAGAAAAAAAGCAAAAGTTTTTAGAAAAAACGTTATTTTCTTCTATGGAACGTTCAGGAAGATCTATGTAATACCCTTAAATCTCATCACAAAATCAAAAAGCTATAATGCATTCGAAAGTAGACACTTTACTCTATCTAACGAGCTATAAATCATAAAATCAACTGCGTGATTTGAGACTCATGAATTCACTTTTTATTAAAAATCAAACGATGGTATTCTTTGACAGTATACATTCAAAAACATATCATTTTTTATTGATAATACATAGATAGTTGACAAACAACAACCGTAAAATTTAATGAAGTTTATTTTTTAATACTATTTCTTGATGATTTAACTTTATCAATAGCCTCTTGCATACCACCTTTAAGTGTATTAATAAGTAAACTTTCTTCTAAAACATGTTTTTGATCATTTTTATCATTTGGTAATAAATTTTTTAATTTTTTTCGTACAGCATCAACATTATGTTTTATATGTTCATTTGAAGAATTTTCCATTTTTTTAATTAAAATATCAGGATCAATTAAACCTTCATCATTTTTACATTCTTGGATTATATTTCTTTCAAAAAAAAAAAACATAAATAAATAACAAAAATTTAAATTAAAAACAAAAATGCTAACTTACAAAAATTCTTCATTTTCATCAACTCCATTTAAAAATTCACATTCTTTTATATGTAATTTATTGCTTGTTCCACAACACTTCATAATCAATTAATTATCGAGCTTGTTTTTTTCTTTAGTGCGTAAAATATATCAATATATCACTAGCAACCATCTAAGCGCCAAGAATTAAATTTTTTTTTCGAATGTCACTTTATGAAATGTCGCTATCAAAAGAAAAATATCTTGAAAAAACATGTAATCTGTTGACGAGAGTACTTCATTATTCGCCACAGTTGGTGAGTAAGTGAACGACTACTAGCTGATTTCTCTGTAGGATTCAAAGCACATACCTTTTACATACGAAGCAGACGTATTATCATTATGTTATAAGAAATGCTTTAATTATCTATAGATATTTTCTTCTCTTCCGTGACCCAAAATAATTTTTTTTGTGCCTATTATATAACCTGAAGTAGTATCTATTTACGGAACGTATTTTAGGATCCAAAAATTGTCTTTTAACGTTAAAAAATCAAATTTACGTAACGAAAAAGGTGAATCACGTTTTCCTCAAACTAATTTTTCAGTGAAAAACAGTGCAGAAACGCCCCCGTTTCTCTGACCTAATATGTCCGATCGGGTTGAAACTTTTTGTGGCATATACTAATTCGAAGGAAAAAAAGATATCCAGCCCAAACAGTGTCTAATACCTGTAAGAAAAGTTCTCTGCTTAACCAAACATAGCATCTCAGAGAAATGCGGATGAAAGTTGAAATTATTTTCCGCCATTGTGATCCAAGAATCTCATGGAAGACAATATCCGGGAACTTTGAGTCTATGACAACTTTTGTTCTACTCATCAAGATCTACCTGCACTGAAAATTTCAAAATTTTCTGATCAATCGTTCTCTAAAAACCTCGAAAAGTACCCTAAAGTGTATGGTTCTATTCTATTTGGTGCTCTGTGTCGATCGTATAATCCTCTGAAAAATATCTTTATCAGTACATAGAGAAATTTATTAATTGCAATGTGCCTAGGGGTGTCCGGCCCGGGGGGAGTCGAAGAGATGACTCGACAATCTTGAAAAAGTTTCGTTTTTGTCCAGCGTTTTGCTGTTTTTCTTGCTCACTAATTCCCAAAAACAATTTCGCGATGCTCTCCTCCCAAATGCAGTCAACTTTAACAAAAATCTTCAGACCAACCTTCTGAGTGATTGTATATTATAAACTTATTTCTTTGATAAAGCTGATAATAAACCGAATTGTAGCGTCATCTATGAGCTATTCTATCAAAGTATGTTTTTTTGTCTAACAACAATTCATTCTCATTTCCATAAAAATACTCTAATCATATCTAAATCGTTGCGATCTAAATCAATTTTCCAACCAATCTCTATCATGAAATGATTCATAATTTTTTTTTCCGGAATTATTAACTCAAAGTTAATTGCATACCTTCTTTCTTTTTTTTTCTTCTTCTTGTTCATCATTGTTCCTGAATTCATAATAGAACAAAAAAGAAAAGATCGAGAAAGTCATTCTACATTAACACTTACTTTATAGTTATATTCATTACAGCTGTCACCCTTTTCTTTTTTTTCATTGTCATTTTTGTCTGTTCATCGATCAAATGGCAACATCAATGAATGAAAATAATGAACAAAATCAATCGAATGTAGGTATATTATTAATAATTGGCGATATTATTTCAAATCAACAACGTGATGAAATATTTCATTATCTTAATAAAGCATTGAAACATATTGATAATAATAAATTTCATGAAATAGAAGATCTTTTTAATAATTTAATTCATAGTGATGAATTTCAAACTGGTTTGTTATTATTATTCTATAAATCAATTTTTTTTGAAATTTTTCCTTTTGTAAATAGATTCTCAATATCGACAAATAAAAACTACAGAAAATGGTTCAATAGCTGGATTTCTTTATTTACCGAATTTTCATGCTGTATTAAATATACTAAAAGATTATTTTAATAGTTGTTATTATGTTTCAATTATTTTTTGTGGTAAGATTATTTATGATATTTTTCATTTTTTACAAAAAACAATTTTTTTGAAAGGTCAACAAATTGATTCAAATGGTTCATTTATTTTATCTGATTCAGTTTTAACTTCGGATCATTTTTCTAATTTATTTGAAGATAATTCTACATATATTATAGAAGATTTACAAATAATATTACCATTTATTTCACATCAATGGATACGATTATTAAAACAAAAATATTTAAAAAATATTCAAATTGATGATTTATCAAAAGAAATTAATGAAGAAAATTCATTTGGAAATATATTTTATGAACGATTAATTCAAATTTTAAATAAAAATACTATTAATTTTGATATTTATAATAAATTAATACCAAGAGATAGTTCAGGAACAAGTAAAAATTTAAAAAGATATTAATTTTCGAATAAAATTTTCTCTTTTTTTTTTTTTCTAAAGTTGCTTTTGATGAACCAAATCTTTATATATTATATGCACAACAAGGAGAAGCATCATTATTTGGTATTCGAGGTTTTGTTGTATTAATTAATGGAGGTTTCAGGTAATTGTTGTAATCAATGTTTAAATTACAATTAAGTTAATTAATAAATAATATATTCTCACTTAAGGGTATCCTATCTCCAGGGATGGAACCGGTCCTGACACTGGACTGACGAGTTATCGTACTAGTCCATCTACAGATAGTAATATTTGATGTAGTCAGCTTTCAACAAAGTTTCATTACACATCTTCGATGAGATAATAAGAGCAAAGAAAATAAATAACAGACAACGGTAATGAATGATCTAACAATTCCATCTCTTCTAATTCCCTCCCTCTTTTTTGATTGCTTCTAGTTCTCGGAGACGATACAGCCGATCAGGTTGAAATCTTTACCACAAATAGTGCAAAGATCCTGGTTTTGACTCCGAACCTTTATGCATTTCTCTCAATAGTAAGATTTTTGAAAAAGTTTAACACTATCTCTGAGATATAGTCGTCTTACGCATCTTAGAAGAGAATTTCTAATCCAATCAAATAAATTTTGACGGAGGTTGTAATATACCAGAATGCAGCTATATGAAAACCAGGATTTTCCAAAAATATCCGCAGTAACCTACTTTGAAATTTTTTTCCTCGAAAATGTGTCTCCTTATTTTTGATGCCTGATCGGTTGTGTCGTCTTCGAGAACCAGAAATGATCAAAACAGAGAGGAGGTACCTTTAAATGTCGTTCAGAATGTTCAGTTTTTTTTTTGCAGCTTGATTTTAGTGTAATTTAGTTCATGTTTGAATTCAAATATTTGTTGATCCATGTATTGCTTATTTATAGAGAGTTTTTTGTTACGAATGAAAAAATGAACATCAAATATTGTTCATATTTTACTAAAAGGATATTTTATCGAGACATTTTTGAAAAGGAGAAATATGCTTGGTAATATTTAAAATAGCATTTAGCTTATAACAAAATGAATCTATTATTCATTAATGAAAAAGAAAAACGGATGTATTCATGGTTTGTAAATAAAACCGGAAATAGAAAGAGTTAACAATAAAAACATTCTCTTGTGTATAAATATTCCCTGACGACATAATCTATTTTTGCATCCGTTGAGAAATGAACAAGTGTATGTTTTTTGTTTGATATGAATAATAGTGATTGCTAAAATGATTTTGTTCGAGCCTATCAATTAGTAAATCTTTGATTTGACATACCCGAACGAGTAAAAGAGCGTAGAACGCTTAAACTTATTTTCATAGTTATTTACGCATAGAACTCGTCGGGTTGGTTCCGAGTCAAGGTCTGAAAGTTTTGAACCCGATGAACTCTAGTCGTTTGAGAAATGTGTAGGTTGCGCTAGTCACTAAATACAAAAAAAACTGGAAAAAAGTATCAAAGTAACTACCAATGACAAAACGACTGAGAATCGTATTTTTTATTTAAAATATAGAGTTTACGGTCAAAAGAAGTTTTCTTGGATATATATATGTATGAATAGTACAAGTGTAGACCTTTATAATACAAATAAAAGTTTAATATGAAGATACAAAGTGTCGATATATTTTCTGAGTCTTTTTAATACATCCTTGAATAATATTTAATGATATGTGGTTGTAAGTTTCATCGACCGCATTCTCTAGTTCACGTTGTGACCTTGGGTTCTTATTTTTAATTTTCTATTTGCTAATGTTCCAGACCAATTCAATAGCGCTAAAATCAGAACTATAACCTGGCCATTCACACAATTCATTATTATATTGTTCACACTATTGTTTGAATTGAGCACTTCTATGCCACCTAACTCCGTCAGAAACATAAGAATTCATTTATTTTTATAATTCCAGATAAAACTTCATATACTTGTATCACTATTTAACCAACTATCAAATCGATAGAAAACATAACCATTCCACCAAATGAAACCAATTAAGTTAACATGCATCCATTAAGATGAAAATTTCCTTCGTTGATGTCGACTCTCCTCGTCTACACTAAACAACCTATTGTGCACTTCTTAAACTCACATAAGATTCATTTTGAAAAATATAGTTCTTGATGTTAGCATGATAATGTAATGCAGCTAATCGATATCGTTTTTGTACATCAATATTGTTGCTCTTGACTGTAACAAGAGACTTGTATGGACGATAACGTTGTATCGTGTGCTCAGTAGTGTTGAAGTGTGTAAGAGATAGTAAT